GGTACAGCAGTTGATCGTGGAATTCAACATTTAGATGTTGAGACTGATATTGGTCATCGCATGCCTCATAACTTTTACAAGAGCAAAACTTTGGTCTCTTTAAAGCTCGTAACCATAGGAATCAAGGACCCCCAGTTTGTGGTTTCTCTACCTTGTCTCAAGATCATGCATTTAGAAGACATTGGGTATGGTGATGAGCCTTTGATCATGGAGAAGCTTATCTCAGGCTGTCCTGTTCTAGAAGATCTTACAGTAATCAAGCGTAATGATTTTTGTGAAGCTCTGGGATTTCTGCGCGTGAGGTCTCAGACTCTTAAAAGGTTTCGTCTCACGTTTAAGTATGGTCTGTTTAGTAATGAATGTTTAGTTGAGATTGATGCTCCAAGACTCGAGTATCTGAAGTTTAATCATAACCAATCTGATACTATTGTAGTCAAGAACTTGAATTCTTTATCCATGATCGATATTGAAACTGAATTCGTGGTCAAGTTTGGAGGCAGTACTTTCGAACCCTATGATCAAAGGAAGAGAGATACTATCCGTGATTTTCTCACCGGGATATCTAGTGTACGACATATGATCATCTCTCAGTTTACTCTAGAGGTATATTCTTTGATATATATATAATAATTTAATCTTCTTTAGTTCTATATGATTTATCCATTTATTTCTTCTTGTAGATTATCGACTTATATTCTAGATTTGGACCAATCCCCAAATTCGTTAACTTATATCGTTTGGACGCTGTGTTCTCTTACTCCATGGTACAGTTCTTACGGTCTTTCTTGACAGCTGTCCAAATCTGAAAATACTCATCTTGGTAAGAACTTTTTTAAAACCTTTTATTTGGCTGAGTAAGAACATTGTTGATAGATTTTAAACCCTTTTTTAACTGATAGATTTTAAACTTTCATATACTTTTTTTTAGGATTTGGTTGTTTCCCAGCTGCTAGAGCAAATTGAACTCAGCTATGTGCCTCAGTGCTTAATATCGACTCTGGAGTGTGTTGAGATTAACATTATGATGGTGAAGGAGGAAGTTGGTACTAAACTATACAAGTACTTTCTTGAAAATTCAGCAGTACTCAAGAAACTTACTGTGAGTTTTGCTGATGATTCAAAGGCCTTCTGTTTTCGTATCAGACGCTAAATAACTACATGAACCTTCTTACATCTACTAGGCGTTAGTAAATGTCAGGTTTTCGTTTATCAGTGTCATTGAAAATTGTATGCAATAAAATTAATTGATTAGTCCTTGAGTGGAACGGTACATCGATTAATCATGATCTTTAATATCTGGTTATCAACAGCTTTCTTATGTTGCTTTATATCTGACATTTGGTGCTTTTGGACATTTTTGCGAGACATTGGTGTTTCTGAAACTTGTGAATGTACCAAGATTGTTTTATCTCTACCTTGTGTCAAGATTCAAGAACCTTTGATTATGAAGATGCTTGTCTCAGGCTGTCTTGTTCTTAAATATCTGCTTGTCGTGAGGAATCTTGATGATATTGTGGTTGTTCTGCTAGTGAACTCTCAAGACAGTAAAGGCTCAGAAAGAAGAATTGATGGTGTATGTTTAGGCAAATTTTATCCAATTCGAATCAGTTATACAGAATGAAAACATATTCTCTATTGATATATAACCTTAGAATAACAATGAGTTGGATTTTCTTAATGTCTTGAAAGACCTTCATAGATCCTCTATGGTCGTCTCCCTTCGAACGTGTACTTTTTGGTTGAAGTGCTCTCTCTTTTTAGGGTTTTTAGTTCTAGATATATAGAGAATGTCTCATATTTTTTTTTCCTAATCGGAATAAGAAATAATTATTATATACATTCTTTTGGAGTTGATCCATTTTGAAGCAAACTTGATAAGTTCCTCATGAATATTTTTCCTTCGTTTCTAAATTTATTTTTCCAATTTTTTTTTATTGCTTTGAGGATAACTATCAGGTTTGAAATATGATAAAATTATCCCCAACAGTATAGAATGTGGTTAAGATTGATATTCTGAAGACTTAGTAAACTAAAGAAATGAAAAAAAAAAATTAAACTCTAAATTAGAAATAGTGAACCCAAACATAATATTAAATTTTATTTATATTTATTTTAGTAAATATATTTTATATAATTATTTGTTTTAATTTTGAAATTTTAAACTCTAATTTTTTAATCCTAAAATTATAATTTTCATACCCTAAATCATAATCTATAAACCTTAAAAAAATTGAAAGAAAAACTAAACCCTAAACTCTAAGAGCATGATTATCGTAGAGACAGAATTGGGTTTCTAAAGCTATATTTATTTAATATTTTGGGTTTAAAAACTGTGAGTAGAAATCTTTTGTTTTGGGTTGATTATTGCATGAAACCCGAGAAACGTGGTTACGAGAGACGAAATTTAGAAACGGACAAAAAAGTTAGAACACAGAAAAATGAAATTTTCAGTCCATCTTTTTTCAGTCCACTCAACAGTTTACATGTGGCTCCGAGAAACGTTTCTTACTGTCCCCAAATTAGAGACGTTTCTCTAACTTTTCAGCTTCAAACGAAATTAAATAATATTATCTGGGTATAAGAGACGGTCCAAGAGACCTGGATAATCATGGTCTAATCTTCATATACATTATATATATATATATATATTATAAATATTTAATTAAGTATTTAATCTTTTAATTTTTATTTTATATTTTTATTTAAAAATAATATTACATGTCAGATTCTCATTGGCTAGAGGTGAACCCAAGAATTTTTCTTTAGTATAAGTGTCTAATTAAGAGATGATCATTAATTCTTCCGGAATTATTATTTAGTCTAGTTGCTGTACTTTAGAATCAAACTAAGGGAGTATTATTGAATTATGGTTTTTAATAGAGTCAAAATCCATCCACAATCCATTGTTATTCAATCAGTGATTTTGATTTCTCTATAAAAATCCAATGTTATTGGTTCATGTATTTGCAATCTCTTTATTAATAGAGTTTGAAATCCATTGTTATTCAATTGAAGAGTTGAATAAGTCAATTAAAATCTTATGTTATTCATGTTTAACAAATTTTTACAACTGATTTTAGGTGAAAGATGTTAATTGAATTTGAACCTATTTTTATATGTTAAATGTAGCAATCAAAATCTAATTTTTTATCCTCAGATTTTGATAATTAAAATATTCAACACAAATAATTATTAACCTTCATTTTTTTTTCTTTCTTCCCTTCATGTATTAATCGATCAAATACATCACTCTCTCATCCCTTCATTTTTTTTCTTTTCCCTCCATTTTGTATTTTTATTCCTTACACGTCTTTTTTTTTCCTCATCCATTTCTCTATTTCTCTCTATTCCCTAACACCAAATATGTCTTTTCCCTTCTCTCTCTCCCTAAGTCATCAAATAAAAATATAATATCTTTCTGGATTAGCAATCATAATTTGTGAAGGAAAGTTTTCTTATGTTGGATTCAAATCAATATTATGGAGTGAATGTGAATGTTTTTTTTCTTAAATTGCAATTTTTTTTATTATGTTGCTTTTTTCTTTTGATTTTTTTTTTACGTATGTTGCTTTTTTTTCTTTGATCTTTTTAAATCCCAAAATTATTGAAAATTCTATTCTATTAGATTTTAAATGATAGCATGTGACTTTCTAAATACATGGCTAAGTAATTTAAAATTTTAATAACTCATATACATTAGATTATAAATACATTAACAAATATTAAAATCTAATATAATCTAATCTAGTGGAGTTGATTACAACATACAGATTGAATAACACCCCCTAAACATTAGGTTTGGATGCTTTGATAGATTTTATGCATTTATTATTGCTTTGATCTGAATCTCACTTTTATGGACAACAACGACTCGACCTTATGGATTTATCTTCATCAGGCGAATCAAGAACATATTCGGAACTTAGTTACAAGCCCTTTTAATTGATTATGGACTTCGACCACCACCTTTAAACCGCTACAAGTTTAAATGTCATCAATATCTTGTAAATGAAAATTCTGAAAATATTTTAAACAAGTGTTAATGTGTGTTTCTTCTCTTATTTGTTACAAGAGCTGTCTAAAAAGCAATTATTAAACTGCAAATTTGTCTCTAAGTCTAAAGATGAAATATAATAATTTGTCTCCAAGTCTAAAGATGAACTCTTGATCAGAGAAGGAGGAGGAAGCATAGATTTTGAAGTATGTCTTCTTAGAGTTTATATGGAAGCTTTGGAATCTGATCAAGAGTTCATATCTCTTGCGTCTTCTTCTTCTTGATCCTATTCCTATTTTCCAGACACAAAACTCAAGTTATTCTTTTTTTTTTTTCATTTTTTTCAAAATGAATCTTTGGAATAAAAAGTTGCAACTACTGTCTTTGTTTTTTATAATTTCACACGATTCTGCAGCTGTTGGAGTCAAATGTTTCAAATTTTTCAAGGTCATAACAAATAACTAAAATATTGAAATCTATGTTTGACTTTAAGCAACAAATTCATCAGACAATTATGGAGAAAAGCTCCTCAAAATCGTCTTGAAGATGATCAAGTCCATTGTTATAGCATGAAATTTCGTAACAGCTCGAGTTAGAATATTATATATATATATATATATTATATTTCTACTTCCGCTGAAATTGATCCTTTGGAAGTTGCGTGTTTAATTTACGATTTGACGATTATCTATTAATCCGCCGGCGAATTAACTCGACAGTAAGTTCTTCAAACTCAGATTACTCTATCGACTATTGTTGACTATGCATATCCGGTTTTTCAACGACTTCAAACCCTAAAATCTGGAGGAAACTTAAGAAACTCAACGCTTATGATTAGATCAAGGACTTTTTTTTTCATTTTGAATTGAATGTAAAATTATGTTCAACAAAAAAAAATATTTATGTAAAATGAATTAATGCATCAGTTTTTGTTTGAGCTTAGAAAATACATTGGATCAAGACTTTTGATATTGTTGATTTGGAAACTTTAGGGTTTCGTCTCGTGATGAAGGACGATAGATTCAGCGCGTTGCCCGATTCTTTGATAACTCAGATACTCTTATGCCTTCCTACCAAAGATTCGGTTAGGACAAGTGCTTTATCGACCAGATGGAGAAATCTCTGGCTTGATGTTCCAGGACTTGTTTTACACCCCACAGATTTCCCTTCTTTTTGCAAAGCTCCCGCAAAGAACTTCATTGACAGGTTTCTAAAGTTTAACAGTGAGTCACGCCTGGAGAAGTTCAAGTTCAAGAATAATTGCCACATATTCCATATAATTATTGACAGATTGAAGGAGTGGGTCGCCACAGCGATTGATTGTGGTATTGAAAATCTAAATATTGAGATCAAGAATGTTATGTACTCCAGATATTACATGCCTATGAACATTTATAAGAGCAAGACATTGGTCTCTTTAAAGCTTGCAAAAGTGGAGCTTGAGAATCCCGAGTTTGTTGTATCTCTACCTTGTCTCAAGATCATGCATCTTGAAGACATTTTTCACAACCTCAATGGTCTTTTGAATACGGAGAAGCTCATATTAGGATGCCTTGTTCTTGAAGATCTTAACTTGGTAAGTAGCCATTATGATGATGTAAGAACTCCGGCGCCCCTTCTGCGTGTGAGGTCTCACACTCTGAAGATCTTTCGTTTAAAATGTCACCCGGGAATGTGTGAAAATCATTATGGGGCTGAGATTGATGCTCCAAGACTCAAGTATATGAGTGTTAAAGATAACCACTCTGATAGGATTGTGGTCAAGAATCTTAGCTCCTTGTTCAAGATAGACATTGATACTAACTTTAATGTCAATTTTGCTCACAGTCCTTTGAGAGCAGATGATTTAACAAAGAGAGATATAATCCATGATTTTCTCACCGGTATATCTACTGTAAGGCATATGATCATCTCTCAGCATAATCTAAAGGTATATCTACTGTAAGACATATGATCATCTCTCAGCGTAAGACATAATGTAACAGTTTATTTTTCTATGAAAAAAATCCCCACATGTATCCTCTTCTTCATCTTGCAGGTCCTTTATCGTTATTCCAAACTGGAACCGATCCCCAAATTCCATAACCTATCTCATTTGCAGGTTGCGTTCTCTAGCTCAATGTTACAATTGTTTCCAATCTTTCTTGGGAGCTGCCCAAATCTGAAAAAACTCATAGTGGTAAGATTTTGTCCTGAGCCTATGATTTGGCTATGTAAAAACATTTTTTGAAACACCTCATCTTGGTAATCTCAGCTTGTTGTTTTTTTTTTCATCGCAGAACTTTTCTGTTTCAAAGGAGCCAGATCAGCAAATCGATGTTAACTATGTGCCACGGTGTTTATCATCGACTCTGGATTGTGTTGAGATTAACAAACTGATTACGTGGGAGAAAACTGGGATGAAACTAGTGAGGTACATTGTTGAGAATTCAGTAGTCCTCATGAAACTTAATCTGAGTTTCACAAATCCAGTCGAAGATTTAGATATCTACGAGGAGCTTCTTACAGCTATAAAGCGTTCTCGCAGATGTCGAGTTAATTTATTTCATTAGTGTTGGCTATTATGATGGGAAAGTGTTATTAGGCTTTGGAAATTTAGGTTTAACTTAAGATCACAAATAGATACTCTTTTTTTGTTCTTATTTTCTTTTCTCAGTTAAAAATACTCTCTTAGATTATAATCTTTTCTTCATACATGCTCATCTTACTTTTGTTTTGGATTCTTTAACGACGGATGATTCTTATATGCTTAAAAGGTCAGATTATAAAACCTGAACGAAACACCAACCAATTACGGGAGAGAGCAATAAGCAGCCCGGGAAGAAACTATTGAAGAATAAGAAGAAAATTTTGATGAAGGCTGTGAGGTATTTTCTTGAAAATTCATTAATCTTTAAGAAACTTATTTTGTTTTTCTCTCCTAGAACCAACCAAGTCTCGGATACCACCAAGGAGGTCCTTACATTCACAAAACGTTCTCGAAGATGCAATATCTTCATGAGTTCGTTGCACTTAGAGACAGTTTTTCTACAACTTATAGGCTAAATAGACATTTTCCACACTTACCCACTTCGAAGGTAGTACCATCAAAACCTTCTTTTCTTGTTTTATGTTTTTTTTTTTCGTTTTTTGATTGGAACTTCTTCTTCTTTCCAGGGCCGGATTTGGGCAAAGCCCAATGAAACATTTGCCTCAGGCCCCCATATTTTTTGACTAAAATCCAGCCCATTAATTTTGTATTCAGTCCATAAAAACTCAAAAAAAAAAAAAATTCAGCTCAAATATTTAGGCCCATTTCGACCAAACCCAGAAAAAAAAGTTAAAGAAAACAGCTTTTTCAAAATCCCACATCGACAATTGAGTGAAAAGAACTTCTCACTTTTCTGTATAAATAGAATATATGCTCCAGCATTTTTAACTCATACGGGCCTGAATAAAACCCACATAATATTTGTCTAATTTTACTAAAACTTGACAAAATTCAACCAGTATAATATTTAACCGGTTTAACCGATTAATAATCGGTTTTGTTAATAACTCGGGCAATTTTTCAGTTATCATCAAATTTTTTGGTTATAGTCGAATCTAGCTGATCCGGTTTCACCCTATCGCCGACGAGTCACAGAAGTTTTGGCCGGCATTTCTCAAATCAATTTATTTCTGTTTTAATCACAATCAAAATCTAGCAATGTCAGGTAATTTTTTTAAGTAATAAAATTAAAAATTGATATTTCTTTTTTCTGTTTAGAATTGGAATTTTGATTTTTATTCTTAAACATGAAATTTCTAGGAATTTCAATACGAAAAACAAAGTGTAAATCAGGAGCTCAAAAAGCAAGAGAGAAGAAAAGAAAAGAAAAATCTGATAAGTCTCAAGCAAATTCTATGTTGAAGTTTGTTAAAAGATCAAAAACTCTTCAAGTGAATGAGGGTGATGGAGTTTGTGATGAAAATCCTTCTGGTTTAGACAATGATAAGGCAGAGGAAGAAGAGAAGAGATCTGAAGAAGATGTGAATGAGGGCAGTGGAGTTTGTGATGAAAATCTTACTGGTTTAGAGAATGATAAGACAGAGGAAGAAGAGAAGATATCTGAAAAAGATGATTTGAACACTCAAGAACAAGAGAGAATTTTGGATAGAACTGATCCTGCAAACTGGAAAATAATTGATCAGAGTTTGAAAGATTATCTAGTGAAAAAAGGTCCTATGAAAAGAGCATATGAGAATTATGTATTTCCATAAAATAATGATGGTCGGCATTTTTCTTGCAAGTATTATATAAGAGACTTGATAAATGGAGAGAAACAAGATTGGAATTGGCTACTTTATTCAAAAGTATCAGATCGAGCATATTGTTTTTGCTGCAAGTTGTTTGGTCGAGATCAAGATGCTAATCAGTTGTCAAGCAAGGGGTTCAATGATTGGAAGAATATCAAGATACGACTGAGTCAACATGAAACTAGTCACTACCATATTTGGTGTATGAGTCGGTGGATGGAATTAGAATTTAGGCTAAAGAAGAATCAGACGATTGATAAGGATCTCCAAGAAGAAATTAATAAAGAGAAAACCCATTGGAGAGAGGTTTTGTTGAGAATATTTTCATTGGTGACAACTCTTGCTAAACAAAATTTAGCTTTTCGTGGGACTAATGAAAAGCTTGGTCAAAGAAACAATGGAAACTTTCTGAGTTTTATTGAATCATATGGAGATTTTGATCCAGTCATGCGAGAGCATATCAGACGGGTTAAAGGAGGTGAGATTCATTATCACTATTTAAGCCACACTAATCAGGATGAGTTGATTGTTATGCTAGGGTCTGAAGTCAAATCTATGATCATCAAAAAAATTCAAGAAGCCAAATATTTCTCGGTTATTCTCGATTGCACTCCAGATAAGAGTCATAAAGAACAAATGAGTCTTATTATCAGATGTGTGGATGTCTCCATGGCTAAAACACAAGTTGAAGAGTTTTTTGTGACATTCTTAGAAGTTGCAGATAAATCTGGAGAAGGGCTTTTTGAGTTGCTTTGTTCGACATTGGTTGGTCTTAATTTGAGTATTGATGATGTGAGAGGGCAAGGCTACGACAATGGATCTAATATGAAGGGAAAACACAAAGGAGTACAAAAAAGATTGCTTGACATCAATTCAAGAGCATTTTATACACCTTGTGGTTGTCATAGTCTTAACTTGGCACTTTCTGATATGGCTAAATCATCTTCAAAAGCGATTGCTTTCTTTGGAATCATTCAACGGATATATTGTTTGTTTTCATCATCTTCAAATAGGTGGGAGCTATTTAAGCAGATGGTAGGAGGTCTCACACTTAAGTCACTATCAGAAACTCGTTGGGAAAGTCGCGTTGAAAGTGTTCGAGCAATTCGATTTCAAGCTCCAAAAATAAGAGATGCTTTGGATTACTTGGCAGAAAACTGTGATGATCCTGGAGCTCGTAGCGATGCTGAAGCTCTTGCCACAAGCGAAACTCATGGAATTGGAGGGTTTGAGTTCTTATTTGGTATGGTTATTTGGTATGATCTTCTGTTCGCCGTCAATACCGTAAGTAAGATGATGCAATCAGAGCATATTGATATTGATAATGCTATTGTTCAATTGAAAGGGTTAGTATCGTTTCTGAAAAACTATAGAGAAACTGGATTTGAAAAAGCAAAAGCAGAAGCTAAGATTATTGCAGAGTCTATGGATATCGAACCAGACTTTTCAGTGAAACGAAAGCGCATTATTAAAAGGAAGAAGCATTTTGATGAAGCAGTAGAAAGAGATGATGAATCTGAGATGCTAAGTGAGGAAGAGAAGTTTAAGATTGATTATTTCTTGAGAATCGTGGATCAAGCTATAGTATCTCTTCAAATAAGGTTTGAACAATTTGAAGAGTATGAAAAAACTTTTGGATTTTTGTTTGATCTACATAAGCTCAAATCGGCAACGGATGATAGTTTGAAGGCAAAATGTATCAACCTTGAATCTTCTCTTAAACATGGTGCCAATTCAGACATTGATGGATATCATTTATATCTAGAGATCAAAATTCTAAGAAATGTTTTGCCAACTGAGATCAAGAAAGCTGTTGAAGTGTTAGATTTTTTAAGAAGATTTGAAGGTCATGGTTATCCAAATACGTGGATTGCATATAGAGTGATGCTAACTATTCCAGTTTCTGCTGCTTCGGCTGAAAGAAGTTTTTCCAAGCTGAAGTTAATAAAGTCTTACTTGCGGTTAACTATGTCAGAGGAGAGACTGAATGGTTTGGCAATGTTGTCAATTGAGAGAGATATGGTTGGAAAGCTTGACTACCAAAGTTTGATAAATGATTTTGTGGAGAAAAATATAAGAAAACTTATTTTTCGAAATCCATAGATTGCTATTAGTTTTTTTTTGGATTACTTGTGTATCATTAATATTAGTACGTTCGCACTTTTAAAAGTTTTTTTATCTAAATTTTTTTTTTATAAAAAAGAATAGCGGCCCCCATTTTTTATTTTGTTTCAAGCCCCCAAAATCTCAGATCCGGCCCTGCAGTTCTTTCATCGATCTATGTTTCTCTCCTTTAATCTTCTACACTCTCATCTTTTTGATAAATGTCTTGCTTCAAAGGAGAACTAAAAAGAAACATCACCCGGAAAAAAATCACCTTCATTGACATTCTCAAACAAGTTGGCTTGATGACTAGTTTGTTTGTTGGATATCACACCTACGAATTGAGATAAGAATGTGTGGATTCAATTATTTTATTAATGAGTGATCAAAGGCTATTTCAGTTTAGGGTAGACAGAAAATGGAACTATACGGAAATCAGTTTATGCATTGTATCAGTATCACTGCTAATGAAAGATTATATGCCAATGGAATGTTGATTTCTCTTGTCAGTAGCCTATTCTAAGATCTTCATAATAGGTTAATTAGTAAATTAATCATGGATAACTAGCAATGGACATATGACAGCATGCTTGCTCAAACAATGGCGAAACCAGAAATGTTTTCTACTGGAATCAATACTAATACATTATATATTTTTTGCCAGGTTAATACTAATATTTTCTACAAAATCAACTGAAATTTTGAAATTTTGAAATTTTATAAAATTTATAGGGGTCAGTTGACCCCCTCCAACAAACTTAGTTCCGCCACTGCTTGTCATCACTTTGGACATAAAAGATATTTTGGACTCAGATTCCACTTTTGATTTCTACAAACTCATATGATTATTTCATATTAACGATTGATAAACTCAAATAATTGGATCGACAAACAAAAAAAACTTTAATAATTATATTAATACTAGTGCATGCACCGAGCTAGTCAACTACAAACTGTTTACCTTGGGTTCACCTTAAACCACGAATAACTCGCTTTTGTTCTTATTATGTTTCTCTCGTGGCCTTTTGGGCCGAAACAAGCTCAAGCTCCCGCTAATAAAACCACCACAAACTTTGTCTCGAACAAAAAAAAGTTGTCTCGTAGCTAGCTTTCTATTTCTATTTTCTACGTGTAAGCCCTGG